CCTGAGTGATTCACTCAGGGCGGTTTTATGGTGCGTTTTTCGAGACTAGAACTTCCAAAATGGGTTTATTCTAAACACTAATCTTTCTCCTCTATCCTGGCACTTTACATGTATCACAATACTCTGTATTAAACTTATTATGAACCTGCTACAGCAAAATTTCGAAGTGACGAGCTGCGATATTTCGAGCGCGCAATTTCTGGGTGACCTGTAACGTACGACTTCCCAATGTGCATTAGCGTTCGGGCTAAAGCTTCGTTTCATGACGTTCATGACATGACAGCAAGGGCATCCCATGATACCATTCGATCTTGAGTCGGAAGTTAGCCGAACGCCTATGCGATTGGGAAACATGTACGTCACAGTCAAACAGAAATGTGCGCTCAGAAAAAAAAAAAAAAAAAAAAAAAATATCGTCGCCTCGTTCACTTCGAAATTTTGTAAGGCGGGTTATATATAGTTTAATACAGAGTATGTGTGATACATAATAAGTCCGCAGGAAATTACAAATTACAATACATTATTACGTATTACATGATAATAATATTATGATAGTGATACGTATACACATCATCGTCACATGTAACATATACATAATTATTTATATTGTTCTTAGTTTATATCATAGAACTAGAATAGAAGTTCTATTCTGCAGTTTATATCAAAGATCGTAGGCCCCTCTATATAGCCGCTATATCATGATCTTTGGTTTATATCTCCAGTCATGAACGCTGACATGTTGGGTCGCGGTAAAAGCAGCTACTATAGTCCTCTACGGTCTACAAAAATATATCTGTCAGATAAGTACAAGTTGTGATTTATTTATAGGTTTATTAGTAGTAGTCTGTAATTTATGAGTAGAAGTAAATTTTAAACAGTTTAGTCTTAAGAGGACGTTTTAATTTATATGTGATTCTATATTTAATGCAGATCTAGTGCACCGCATTAACCTAGAAACCAATATGGAGTACATTTATCTCAGAACTTTGTTATGTAGTTCTGTTGGATACCGAAGCAAGTATCTATCCAACAGGTCGTTGGGTAGGTACTTGGCCGGAGTGGTGATGTAGGTACGTTAATTGCTTCAAATAAGGGAGTTGTATGGGAGGTGAGCGGGTACATCTGTGCATACAGAACCTTTGATATCAGACGTGTCGCAAATACACGTAACCAGAGTACAGCCTACAGCACAGGCACTTGTCTTGAGTCATTTCAATAATAAAGTAATGGTACATGGACACAAATTGTATTTACTACCACAGTCTTAATGTTTGTGTACTTAATATCAGCTAGTAATTCTACGTAATTGCCAGTCAAATGCTCATCTGCAACATACAAACCCACCGAATGCGCGCCACTGGCACTTGGGTCCAACTCCAAGTCTCCAAGAAACGGTCTTGCTAGGGTAGGCCTAGAACTTAGAAGACCGTTTCAAACATTGGCTGCAGCTAAACACGTAGTTGTCGTATGTGCCAAGTATCGCCGAAGAACACTTCACATGTGATATACCAAATGAATCAGTATACATCCGCCTTCTTGTAATTTTTTTTGTAACCATCAGTGCGCTACGATGCGCTCGTTACTTACGGGGTTACAGCGACTTTTTGAGATGAATGCAATCAAAATCATTGAACTCGTCAATATTTGTATTATTCCGACTGTGACTAAAATCTGCAATCGACCGAACAAGTTGTTTTATTTTGTTAAATTAGTTTTGGCTTTAAGTTTTTAATTTTGTTTTTCACATATTTTTTGTAACTTGTGATTTTGTAACTTTCACATATTTTTTAAAATGTGCTCGTGCTCGTCCTTAGTATCCTAAGTATCAACCTTATGTTTAGTATCTCTGCATAGCTAAATGTTAACTTGCACAAGTTATTACTTACATTTTACCCAAAAAATCTAATGAATCCCTATGGAAAACTCCAATTTCATGGTAATTTAAATGGTAGTAACTGCCTCTTTATGCGTGAGTAATGGTGGCGCATTGCATTCTGTGATCAAGTGCTCTCTGATTCCGACCTTCAAGACTTGACCTCCCACTTGGCTTCAAGCCAAGCTAGGGTGATTTGTGCAAGAATGATGTTGCATATTCAATTACGTTCATTGGCCAAAGGATCGAGTAGCGCTGTAAAGGCCACCATACACTAGAGCAATATAGCTAAGCAATCGGTCTCGCGAGTAATATGGCTTGCAAGTCATGTTTCCCGCACACTAGAGCAA